AGCTGTGGGCTTTGCTGTTGGGCCCAGTCGTCTCCCTTCCTGCGCTGTGAGTTCGCATCCTCCAGGTCCCCGTCTGGGCCCGCTCCGTGAGTCGGGGTAGGAGGAGCCAAGTCTGTCCCATGCGGGATGGCGTCCTGCGGCTCGGTCAACACCGGAGAGCGGTGCGGCGAAGGCCTCCTCTCCTCCGGTTCCCATGCTGTTGTTAGGGATGTCCGCAGGTCCCGCTGTTGGGCCCTGTGGGGGTTCTCTAGGTGCCGGAGCTCCAACCCCTCCGGTTTCTTTGACTGGCAAGTCTCCCGAAGCGGAGTGGGAGGGGCTAAATCCGCCCGGCACTGAGCGGCATCCAGCGGCCCTCTCTGTACTGTGGAGTGGTGGGACGGAGGCCTCCTCTCCCCCGAGGAAGGGGTCCCATCAAACAGGCGGTGGAAAGCCGATTTAGGCATTGACTTGCGCCCCCTTCTGCTTGCCCTTCTTTGACATATTGCAGCTAGGCGATGAAGTGGCTCAGGATGCCTGTAACGACGAAGCTGTGTCCGGAGCTATAGGATTCTGCTGCTTCACGTGGCCATTGCCAAGCCACGCCCCCAAAAGTCCTCATATTATATCCTAATGACTATAAGCAGGATGAGATGTACGTGAGTATGAAGACAGTCAACAATAGAAACAAACAATCTAGGGGATCTAACCTTCCATATTCTGTACAAAAGTAAAAAAGCAAGTGTTGCTCTTTAATAGGTTTAGTATGAACTGTTGACATTTCAGTTTATCTTTAGCTTTCTTTATCCTTGGGTAGACAATATATAGAAAATAGCAACCTTATGATGCACATTATTTAATTGGTAATTCTTTTAACTGTTTATGTACATAGAAAAAGCACTATATACTGTATGTAAATTGTAACAGTCAATATATAATGATCTGTAATCTAAAACACAAGACTTCTGTGTGTAAGTCTTTCTTGTAAACATTAACAAAAATATTAATTACAATAACAATTAATCTAACTTCCATCACTGGGCTAATAGGAAGCCTGAAGTAGCGGACACTTTATTATCTATGTGAATTGGCTAATTTGTCATTCTGCAATGGTGTAATTAAAAGTAGTCAAAAACAATAATTCAACTGTTGTCACTTACAATGAAATAGACCAGTTTCCCAGTTATGTAATCTAAGTACCTCCTGGCTTCTGGATACATTTGAGGTGAGTCATATGCATCAGTCAAACTACAGTAAAATATGTTCACTGGAGGAATTTACAGGAAATTACAGTAGTAAAAATTATCTGAAATGTTGCCAGACTGATCGAAATAATATATAAATAAATAGATAAATAAACCATATTTGAAAACTTTACTTGGCAGTCTGAAATGCCACTCATATGAAATACTTACTAACAAAGAAGAAGGAAATAGAAATATTTGCTTAAAGGTAAATATCCAAGACAGATAGTCTTGGACACTTTAAGAAAGATGAAAAAAATATTGAAATCACTTGTTCACTTTGGTAATACAAAGTAAATGATATACATGACTGCACTATTTGCTAATTTGCTGTCTGGGCTTTGCATACCTCTATTCACGTTGAATGTTAGCTAGAAGATTTACTTTGAAGATAATGCTAAATAAAAGGTGTGAAAGTGGATCTTCCATGCAAATCGAATGCCATTGCCATCCTTCAACCACCCAAATAAATAAGCTGTATGTAAATCTTTTGCAATAAAAATTTAACAAGAAATAAAATAAAAAAAACGCATCAGTTCGGTCTCGGGTTTTGGCAGATGCAGATGACATCACTCACTGCTTACTCCTTGCCACTAGAAATACCATGAGAATACATTCCTGGCATGGGATTGTGGGATATTAAGTGCCCACAAAGGAGGCAGCGGTAAGGCATGGAGTTGTCACATGCCTCCCTGAAGCTTAGACTGAGGTGAGTATTTCTTTATAGTTTTCGTTAAATCTTTATTTTTAAAGCTTTTGTTACTGCTCATTTTGTTTGGGGGCGGATTGCTGGCAGTGAAGTTTTTTACAGAAGGCCTGCTTTAAAAACAATCTCCTGAGAAATATCCTGAAGTCAATAAATACAAAAGGCTTGATTCATGAAGCTTTAACAAGAATAAGTATCTGTATTGTCATGTGACTGTCATTTTCAAATCTCATTGGATTCAAATAAAATTAACTCTTTTTTTTTTTAAATAAGTATCTTTATCCTGGTGTGTTGGCGTTGTGAATTGAGCCTAATATATTATGAAAATAGTCCTAATGGGATATTCTGCTCCAGGATTCTTGCTTTATTTATTATGATTAGGCATATTGAAAAGAAGTTACTTCTTAGTAGATGGATATTTCTGAGAAGAAAGCCATTCAATGAAGACTTTGGTAAGTAGAGAATTGTCTAATGGTCTAAAACTCCTATGTTTCAGCATGTAACACTGCAAGCCAATATGAAATCATTTTACATTTATTAGCTAAACAAACATTTTTTTCTTTTACATACACTTTTCAACATCCTGTTCCTCTTAGGCATTAGTGATGTAATCCAGGCCTAACAGATGCATCCTGGGAAAGCTACATTACCAGTGCATCACTGGGAAATCTCATTTGTAAAACTGCAAAATCTTGTGAGATCTCAGGGAAAGAATTTTGTTTGCCCCTGAGATGATGTGTACTGTCACATGTACCAGTCACAAGTGCCAGAGTTCCAGGAAGTAACAGGAGATTAATCTGCCCTCAGTGAAAATGGCCACTCTGAGAAGAATGGGGAGGAAAAGAAAAAAAAGGTATGCAATGAATAAAAAGCCGGCAATTATCTAGAAGTATGTGTTTGTGGATTGCCATTATTATATATTTCTACAGGTGCCTTTGTTGTAATATTTAAGATAATGGTTAAGTTTCTCTTTAGGGCTTCTGTATAAAGGTTACGTAGCCACAGCACTGTTGTGCTTGATTCTCAAAGTAGACCAGATAATGGATGACCTGTATGGCTAGAACCTCAAGAATGCAAATATTATATATACACAATATAAATAAATCATTCAGCAGCACCTATAGTCTAAATCCTAAGTGGTCCTGCTTGCCACTGCCACTACTACTGTTTTCTGATTACTTAAAGGATTACAGTATAAACCAGCAGACTTCCTGATTTTTCCCCCCTCTTTTCTGTTGGAAATAAAGTTTTGAAGTTGTAACAGTGCTAAAGAGAAAAGTATCCAGCCAAAAGATTGCAGATAAGAAGCCCCAGACATGTTTTTTTTATATATATTAGAAGTCATAGATTGACATACATCTGAAATACTTTAGGATACTGGCGGGGGTGCAGGGATTATGTGGGCATTTTATGTTATATTTTGTTTACCTTAACTTTAGTAATGCCATACCAGAGCTTTTACTGAATGTTTATATGGCACAGTAAAATTGCAAATAAGTCTCATCCAGTTTGCCAGAATATGTTTTAATTCCTGAGTCTGTCCATTAAAATATACCATTCTGTCCGCAAACATACAAAATGACAAAGAAGAACTCCAGGATCTTTGGTTTTTTTTAACCTAGACACAAATGAGCAGTTAACCCTTGCAGTGCAGGGGTAGCCCCACTGCAAGGGTTAATACAAACAATTCCTGGAGTTGTGATTTAAAGATTTAACAATGATAACATATAAAACCTTAGGTACATACCTCAAGCACCAGAACAAGCACTCAAAAACATTAATTCCCAACTGACAGCTGTATGCCTTCCTGGCTTCTCTTCTGGCACTTGGACATTGTCTTTAACATGTTTATTATCTCTCTTTCCTTTATTTACTAGCAGCAAGTACAACATATATACTTTGTTTTTACTTTTTTTCTCATTTTTAATTTAGCTGTTACTGGATATCTATGGCTATATCTGGCAACGTTAGTGAAAGAATGAGAAAACTGATATCTCAAGACTCTCTACTGCTTAGATGACTTCAAGCACCTCCTCCTCTACAGACTAGATAGGTTCTCCAACAGGGATAAGGTTTGAGTTCACCCTAACCTTGGGTTTGGGCCAAATCCCAAACTACCGGCTGATGGATGAAGGTTTGCTGCAGACATAAAGAGCTACTCATAATTCACTGCATAACCTTCGCCCCCGCTGCGCTGAGTCACAAGAGCCAATAAACTTAAGGAATGGATAATTCAGTCCCTCCACTATAAATAGGTGGTGTTACAGCAATCAAATTATCAGTGTTATTCAGTGGAGCTGTTAGGGAGAGCTGACAATTCTGTGTAGGGAGAGATGCTGTGCTATACTGTGAATTGCAGTGGGGTGTTACATATCCTTTGGTACCATGTTCTATAACACCATGCATTGCTTTAAAGAAGAACTGTAGCTGTACCTGTTTCTAACCCATCTGCTTCTGCCTTTGGTGCTTGGTGGAAAACTACTGTATGTTGCTCTGTAAATTTTCCCCTCTATCTCTTCCCACTGTCTGCCTCTTAATTTTTATTGAAGGGCACGGCAACAGCCATACTTTCTGCATGCAGATCCATAGCCTCCCACAAGATCCACTGATTATCTTAAGCTGGCCACCCATATACTACCGAGCCACCCATATACTACCGAGGACACAAGAACCACAGGACACAAGAACCACAGCTAACGGTATGCACTGTAAGTTGTGGTGTTGCATTCCCTGTGTGAATGCAGTGTTATTTAGTGTGTAGAAATTACAGTGATATGCTGGCTCCATCTGACTCCTCTCACAGGCCAGCGGATGCCCAGAAGAAAAGACCAAGAATGGCCATGTGACCTCTTTTTTTCTTTCAAAACTTTATTTCAAAACTTCAGATAAATGCTAATTTAAGGGAAGAAAGTTAAACACTATGCTGGGGGGGGGGATAAGAAATATACTCTATATTCCAAGCCTGCAATTTAAAGGATTTGTACATTATTTTATTTTATTTTTTTAGCATTGTTACACATCTCCCATGGGAGTGCCCAAGCTCCCATGCCTTTTGTTTAAAAATATCTTGCTTATTATCCCTACAAATGGCCCAAACTGAATAACAACATCACCTCCCATAGACTGCAATGAGGTTCACTCCAAAGTTCGTCTGCCACATTGTTAGCAAGAAACGACTCACAAATTGAACCTGGACTGTGCAATCATCACTGCTCTCTAATGGGAATTTACTGAGAGAAAACTTACAGTCAGTTGTATTTTTCCTGTTATTACTGGTCAAGTGAAGTTAATATTTACCAGTACACACCATATCATAAATGACCTGCATTATTTGATGCATCGTAATTAAAAAAAACGGGCAGATTAGTTTCTTACCTTCAATGACACATTGGTCTGGCACAGGAATTTTCTTCCCCATTTCAGTGACATAGTTTTTTAACTCATTTATGTTATCCTTCAAATGTTGAAAAAATGTATCATGTTCATTATGAGGTTCCTTAATTACCCCTTTTTGGTTTTCAAAATATTCTGGCTCTATTTCACCTTTTGTCTCAATACAGTTTTTAAATTGAACTAATTCTGTAACTTTTCCCATTTGGGATTCGTCAATGTTGGAGCCAGATGGTAATCTTTCATTGTCGTGATGTAGAAACATATGTGAAAAAGACATTAGACCAACAATGTCTACATTTTCAGGGTCTTGATTACTATCCAAATTCAAACATTTTGTGCTTGATGACTTCAATGCTGAGTTTTTTGACCTGAGACAAAACAAGAGCAAAAGTAATATTAAGGTGACGTTTGCTGAACATTAAACAGCATTAACAAAAATGTGTGAACTTTAATAGTGATATGTGGCTTCTGAAAAAAGCTGTTTTATGATTATAGAAGCAGAGTTTCAAGTAAGAAAAAAACATATGCAGTACATCTCTGCAATACATATTAATTTCTCCAATGTTTTATTGCTTTATAAAATGCTGCAAGTACAGAAAAATACCTGACGATCAGTGGAACTTAATGAGCTCTTAACTTCCTGTAGTAGGCTGACAAGTCTACCTCACTCCTGGACTTTTAATTTATTATAATTTAGGGCAGGCACTGAACTGGGGATTGTATAAGAACTTTGACTGGATCATTAGAAAATCACGGTGGCTTTACACTTTGGAATGGAGAGTGCAATTTATACATTGATATTGATTGTTTATATTGATTAATTCCTTCACTTTAATATTGGTTTGTTCAATTTAGTTTGGTATATAGTGCGATACCTCTATATTAAATATTGCTGATTGACTCTCAAGAGAGCCTGCCCATACTATACATAGGAAAGGGGCTCTTGGGAGATGTAGTTTTTGGAGGGATGCCGATATCACTATGAAGTGATCTAGGGCACCATGCTGATCACTTCGATCAGCAGGTGCCACTGTAAGAATGTTATAAGCATGGTGATGATGGCACAGGGAGTAATAACAGCTTTTTCTGGCTAAACACAAGGTAAAAGGAAGATATAATGCTGTGACATCATCTAGAAAGGGGGTGGGTGTTAGGGGTGAGTTTAAGTCATGCTTGGAGGTTACTTTTAAAGGCCCACCCTGCCCAAAATGCTATTTCAGCTTCAGTACATTCATGGAGTTAAACTGCCCAGCGCTTTCTATTGTCTTTCATGGAGTAACTGATCTCTTCCTTTGAACTTAAAAGCAGAACTACAACATCCTATCCCTTACAGCCAAGGAATGCGCCATCTTAAGCTGGCCATACACCTATAGATTATCACCTAACAGATTCCTCCATCTACGCTAAACTATGTGGATGGAAAAATCTCCCACTGGGCCAAGCTTCAGTATCTTGCTAGTCAGCCCCACTGGCTCTCAAAATACCTGAACAATGCCTGCATCTAATCAGATAGTTCAGGTATTTTGACAGCGAGTTGGACTGTCTACCAAGATAATGAAGCTTGGCCAAGTGGGAGATTCTTCCATCCACACAGTTTACCATAGATGGAGGAATCTGTTGCACTTTTTTCCATCTGACCATAGGCTGATAGAAAAAAAAATCTATAGAAAATCTATAGGTGTATGGCCAGCTTTAGCCTCTATTTGGGTTGAAGTTGCCATGGTGCTGCATGTGTGGTCAGCTATCACACCAGCCATTTGGGAGCTGGAAAAATGACTTTGGAAACCTTGACAGTTGGCATGCCTTAAAAGTAACTGTTTTGGAAGACATTAAATTGGTGAGTAAAGTTCCTCTTTAAAGTCTGAACAACTGTTGTGGCAGATATGAGTGGTCTTAGACTTTTTTTTTTCTTTTTTCTCTTGTTTTGTATAATGACAAATGCAACAGAAGGTGTATACGTACCCATTCTGCAGAGAAGAAGTGAGTCTCCAAGGTGGGTGTCAACAAAATTAGGAATAATGGCAAGAAAATCTTGCTGCCAGAATTTCCTACTGATATAAGAATACAGTGGATACCTCAATCTACAAGACTCCATCTATGAATTAAATACCCTTATGAGGTGGAATAACCCTGTAAATTAAGTCACTTAAGCTGGAGAATTTTTTTGAACAAGAAGTGAATATTTTTAAAGGTTGTAATGAATGTCTTCTTTTGCACCTTTTCTGATTATAGCTTGATTGTGTTAGCTTGCCGTTTTTGTTTAGGGATTTGCCTACAAGATGTTTGCAAATTCCTTGAGTTGGTCTGATCTTAAGTATTTTGCTTGGAGTCTGGCATAACCTCCTGGCACGATTTGCTCCCAGTCATTTCCCAGTGTTGATTATGTATATAACAGTAGGAAACACATTTCCAGAGGCACCCTGATAGTTGCATGTGAGTACTACATATGTTTGCAAATGCATGAAACCGGGTTCTCTGCTTTATAATGACATGGTATTAAAGTTCCCCACCCCAAGCACAAACATATAAGCGCATACATGCATCGGGTGCGCCTACGTGCAAAAATGAAAATTGCGCCACACATGTTACATATTGCCACGAACGTCGGAGTGAAAAATAATTCTAGGACCATCAATCACTGTTAACACTAAACTGATGAGCAGAAAAAAGCTTTTAAAGTGTCGCCTATGGGTAATTTGGGGTATTGTAGTTTTTCTGTGGTTTCACGGGCGAACGCAATTTTTAGGGTTGACATGTTTGGTTTCTATTTACCAGACATGTCGAGAGAGAGAGAGAGGGTGAGTGAGAGAGAGAGAGAGAGAGAGAGAGAGAGAGAGAGAGAGAGAAAACATGAATTATTTTTTTTGTGGACATCATGTACCAGATTAAGAACCTTTGCAAACAGAATGCATGAGCTCTCAGCCTCAGGTTTGTCTTAAAGTAAGTGGTATGTTTTTAGTGATTATTTTCTATAAATAATATGGTAAGGAATTTATAGAAAATATAAAACATATAGCACACATACAAGTTGTTATGTTAGAGATCTGTATCCATCCAGCTAAACAATCAAGCAACAAAGACATTTGCCATACACCACAGTGTAACAAATGCTAGTCATGTAATCTGGCAAAAAATTTGTCTTGTTTCGGATTTTTCATTCTTTTGGGTTTTGGGTCCGAACACCATTTCGTTATTCAGATTCTGATCTTTCCAAATTTTGTTTTTGTTTCAGGCAGGGTTTTCTGATTGGCCAGAAAACAGTCACGTGTCCGATTAAGTTTCATTTTGAACAATGTGGTCTATTCACGAAGATGCCGATAGCTCCGTAGCTTCGGCCTATCCTTCGACTAGCTTCGGCCCCAGGACCTCAAACATTTTTTTATTTTTTTTTCTATTCTGACACGGCTCCAATCACCTCTCTCATTCCGCTTGGGCTGGTGAAAAGTCCCTCAGTGTCCTCATGTCTAATGCGGGCCTATGGAATCTGCATTAGACGTAATGATGTCAGCAGTCCTTAGACCATGGGGATGGCTCTAGCAACCTAGAGGGAGCTGGCAGGAGAGGGGATCAGGTAAGTAAAGTGGCTTTTTCCTTTCCCCTAGGCATATACAAGCACCTAACCCTTGCAGTGTGGGGGTAGGCCCACTACAAGGGTAGATTTTTGGTTTGCTTGAAACAAAGTCAGGCATGTTTACACAGAGTACACTCAGTATTATATTTCAATGCCTATAAAGTAATTTCCTTCATAAAAGGTATAACAATTACTGCAAGAAAATCTTTTTGTGTCAACACTGATTAGAAGAAAAAGAGGTATGTAATAAAAATGGAAAGGTTTTATTCAAAGTGAAAACTTTTTTGCTAAGTGAACAGCCTATTTCCCATTAGTAAATCAACCCCATTGTGACTAGTGTTGCATGGGCTGTGTGGGTCATAATTCCACCACTGATGTCCATCATGTAAAATATATAATAAAAAACTGCAATCCAGCATATACATATTTTTTATTGACAGACTGTCTACAAGTAAAACTAACTCTGTGGATATTGTAGGTCCAATTCAATGTTTTTCAGACTTAAAGTTTAAATATACCCAATCACTAAAATCTCAAAAAAGCTTCAACTTGTTAATATAATTACAAGAGTCAGTTTCAGTAGTATTTGTCCCCCAATTGGGCTCCTGTATTGTTACCCTATTACACAGGTTTCCGATGGCCACTTCAATACACATTATGCGGGCAAGGATTATTGTCGTCACCACTGGAAAACTACAGAAGTGCATGCATATAAACAAGAAGTGACTGCAAATGCAATGAAGACAGCAATGCTCAGATGCAACAGAAGAAAAGTAAAAGCAGGTATTTTATTTAAAAAAACTACTCAGTGTTTTATCACTAAATGGCACTTAGGGTTTACATCTACTTAAAGTGACATTAAACCCTCAGATTTTTTAACATAAAACAATACTGTAATGTATGCCTTACTGTAATCCATGGTTGTTTCCCTTCTCTTTGCTGCTCTTCCTTTTAAATCTGTATCTGTTCTCATGCTCTGCAGAACTTCTGTTTTGCAGCAGACTGCCTTGTCTCTGGAATGGATACATGGGGGTTGATTTACTAACCGTATAAACACGCCACGAACAAGTATACACCTCTGTAGTGTGTTCCCTCCCAGCATGATCTATGGGTGGAATCTAAACACCTTTGTAGTGTGTACACACCCAGCAGGTGTGTTGTGCAAAGCCTTGCATGAATTGCAAGGTGATATTGTGTAAATTAGCTCTATGTTGTGTTGCTTGCGTTGATGAATGCAGGAATGTAAATGCATGAGCTAACCATTTTTGTCTAAACTGTGAAGCAGCATTATATATGCATCATGTGCATGATTTTTCCATATATGGCATTAGTGGAAATATGCTTTTAGAGACTTTTTGGTTGATAAATACGTTTTGCTGTGTGAAAATCACACGCACCTGGTGCGTGCGTGTGTTTAGGTTAGTAAATCACCCCCATGGTGTCTGTGTATAGATTTGTATAGGCTTGAGCCAGCACTACAGTAAGAGGCCCTGAGCTGAAAAGGGAAGTTCTCCACAAGCATGAGAAGACATGAGGATTTAAAAGGAAGAGCAGCAAAGAGAAGGGAAACAAACATGGATTACAGTAAGGCACACATTACAGTATTGGTTTATGTTAAAATATCTGAGGGTTTAATGTCACTTTAAGTTAATGAATAGAGGCACAAAAATAGTACATGCTTCTTTTTATAACTTGGAACAGCCAAGAAATCAAGCCCTTTGCAATGCAGTCTGTTCCATGGCTCCCAAACACTGTTACCCCACCCATACATGGCTCCCTCATCCATTCACTGCTCCCCCATCTCACAAACAGGTGCCATCTTGTTCCTGGAATGAGGCTGGACATGGAAGTCACAGTCTGGTGGCACAAGATAACATGGGTTCTGGGTAGGTCTACAAGTGAATTGACAAATTATGTCAACCAGGCACTAATAATGCATTCTTTAGCATTTGACAGATGTTGGGAATATTAAGGTTGCTCTTGATTCTCACCAGGGTAGTGGCATAGGCAACAAAGAGCGTAAAGCTGGTGTACCATCAGTTTATTTTCCAGAAACAGTATACATTTTCAGAGGTAACATTATCATCCATGCAGATTGTGCAAACATAACTTCTTGACCAAAGTTTCATTATAAGTATTGGAATTGTGTTATTTTATAAATGCCCAATAGTATGATCTATAGGATAAGCCATTCAGGGGTGAATGAGAAAAGTATTTTAATTTTTTTGTAAAGTACTGCATTGGGTATGTATTATTGAGATCTTAATCTGCTGAGCACCACAAAAAAGAAAACCTTCTTCCTACAACCAAAACTGGACCAAGTAGAATGAGCACATATTTGTAAACATTTCTAATGTGGTGGTTACCTGTTAAATGCCATGTCTTTACTGTCTGTATTGGACACTTTGATATCATTATGTAGGCAGATTGTTCCAAAAGCAGCGTCATTACGACCAGTCCGATTACTGTCAGTTTGAATGCCTCCTTCCATCTTCTCTCCACAACCACTATGAAAAAAGGACTGGTGTGTATCCTGGACATAAAATGCTGGTTCTTCTTGAATGCTGCTTTCTTTCCTAAATAAAATGCATTTAAGAATTCTAATCAAAACACAGCATACACAAACAGTTGATGTGTAAATATTAAGTTGTGTTTGCTACTTCCTATGTGCATTTATTTGGCAGAAAATGTATTGTTACATGTCAGTTTTTAGTTCCCATCTCTAATAGTTAGAAATTAATTTAAATCAGCTTAGAACAAATCTTAACAGGTCTAATGTTTATCTATTTTAAACGAAAACATTTTGATAGTATACATAAGTAGAAGCTAGATTTTCTAGCTTTAAAACAACATAATGGTGGCCAACCCAACAGTAGTGCAACAGATATGTTGAACTATAACTATATGTTGAACTATACTGATCTCCTTTGTATGGAGTAGGCACAGATTCACCTTCTTGGATAATTCGGTTATACATTGTTGAGCTGATATACTGATTTTTGGGGCATGTGTTACTTTAACACACCAGAAATGCATTACTGCTTACACTTTCCCCTCTTTTGTTGGTTATAAAACAAACTTCATGCCTTCTATATGCTTCTCTAACTTACTTAGGTTTAATAAGGTAAAGAATTTCATAATTGTATAATGTAACTCAATTGCTTTACATTATAAATGTTTTTCTTTTAAGTGTGCAGGGGGTGATATCCCATTCCTTCTATTATTTATAACATCATGTTTTTAACATAAAACTTAAGTCTATGATAAGCATGATATTGCATTGTGGTTTGTTTTGGTCCAACTCACGTGCAACCAATTTCACACTGCATTTCACTCCTGCTGTCTTTATGAGACATCTCAGACAATAACATAGCGAAGTGAGTCTCAGGTGATAACATTGTTTCCTGGGATGTAGAGGAGGTGGGGGGGGGCTTTAGATATCGAATCATCTACACATATATTATATTTGACAGCTCTGTATTTTAATGTATTCTAGTTGCATGGTCCTTATTACGAAATGATTGTTTATAAGGAGAAAAATTCCAAGTAGATTTCTCAAGAATATGTACTGGATGCAGGGCCAGATTAAGAGCATCATGGGCCTGGTGCTGAGGATTTTGGTGGGCCTTTTTATGGAAATGGCGACGGTCACCGGGGCCCTCTTCCTCCTCTCTGGGCTGTGATTTGTAGTCTCTCTACAGCTGGGAGTCAGTGGTGGAGCACCAGGGCCTGGTTGCAGCTGTGACCCTGATAGATCTGCCACTGACTCCCACCTGTAGAGAAACTAAAAACCTTAGCTATACAGCAATGCAGAATACCGCCAGCTATAGAGGACTACAAATCCCAGTAAAACATTACACAGAAATACAGAATACCACTAACTATAGAGGACTACAAATCCCAGTAATGCATTACACAGAAATGCAGAATACCACCAGCTATAGAGGACTACAAATCCCAGCAATAAATTATACAGCAATGCAGAAGAATACCCCTAACTATAGAGGACTACAAATGCAAGCAATGCATTATAAAGCAGTGCAGAATGGCACCAGCTCCAAAGGACTACAAATCCCTGCAATACATTGTAAAGCACCGCAGAAAAATACCATCAGGTACAGAGGACTACAAATCCCAGCAATACATTGTAAAGCACTTCAGAATAATACCATCAGCTATAGAGAACTACAAATCCCAGCAATACTTTATACAGCAATGCAGAATAATATAAAGCTACATACTCTGTATTGCTCCATGTTCATGGCCCGATGTCTCCAGGGTCTCAGGGGAGCTGTGCGGGATTTAGGGGGGCTGTGCAGGCTCTCAGGAGGCTGTTCAGGCTTTTAGGTGGCTAGTGCCGGTGGGATCTCAGGCAGTCAGCGCGGGCTCTCGGGTGGTCAGAATTGGCTCTCAGGTGGTCAATGCAAAGTCCAGGTGGTCAGTTCTGGCTCTCTGGTGATTAGTGCAAGCTGCAGGTGGTTTTTGCGGGATCCAGGTGGTCAGTAGGGCTCTCAGGTGGTCAGTGCGGGCTCCAGGTGGTCAGGAAGGGGTCCAGGTGGTCAGTGCAGGCTCAAGGTGGTCAGTGTGGGCTCCAGGTGGTTAGTGCCGGCTCTAGGTGGTCAGTACGGGCTCCAGGGGATCAGTGGAGGCTCAAGGGGGTCAGTGTGGGCTTCAGGTGGTCAGTGCGGGCTCCAGGTGGTCAGTAGGGCTCTCAGGTGGTCAGTGCGGGCTTCAGGTGGTCAGTGCGGGCTCCAGGTGGTTAGTGCTGGCTATAGGTGGTCAGTATGGGCCTCAGGTGGTTAGTGTGGGCTTCAGGTGGTCAGTGAGACCGGCAGCTGCAGCCGCAGCAGATGCGGCTGTCTGCTCAGGCATATCAGAGGGCCCTCGGGCCTACCGCGATTCGGGTCGGGCCAGCCACGATTCAGGTCGGGTCGGGCTGGCCACGATTAAAGACGGGTTGGCCGTCCTATTTGCAGGGGCAGACCTGGAGTGGGAGCTCCATCTGCACCTATGTTAATCCAGACCTGACTGGATGGGGTAAACTGTGAATCATGTAAGTCAGTGGACATGCATAACCTGCATCTATGGTCAAAATGTAAAATCATATACTAATTTCCACATTGAGTTTCCATTAGTTTTAGCCTACTCCAATTACTTTTTAAAGAAGCCCACAGGATTTACTTGCCTGAATGCAGTGACTAATATTACCTGTGCCATGTGATGTCAACCATTTCACAGAGCCTATTTTCTGAATTACAGGAATACTAAAGATCAGGGAAAGGCATTTTCCTCTCCTGGTCACATGTCCTAGTTACTTTTCTAGCCAAATGTGAAAGAAATCCAGGAAGTAAAAGGAGAGCTAGTAAACATGGCCACTGCCAGAAGACGGGGAAAGAAAAGTGAAATAAGGTATGCAAAGAATACAAAGCCAGCAATTATCTAGAAGTATGTGTTTGTAAATTGTCATTACTAAACATTTCTAAAGGTGTGTTTGTTGTTATTTTAAAGATATGGGTAAAGGTCCACTTTAAATTGTTACATTGATGTTACTGTCTATTATCTTTACCAGTTGTGGACTTTGGGTATATGTGGTATATATGCCCAAACAATCTCCATCTAAAACACTTTGGGCATGTGTAGTACCTCCCTGCCCACCTTTACTGCCTATATGCTGTCCAGTTCAGTCCCATAGATGGATTGGCTCCCATCCACCTAAAAGCCCAATAGAAGTCTATGGGCCCAAACTGAGGAAGTGCGGACATCGAGTAAAGAACCCAGTGGATGAATGTAAATATTGTCACGAACCTTTGCTGTAAGATCTAGGTAAGTAAATGGAAAATAGCAAGGAATCTCTGTTTATATGTTGCCTTATGCTTTAATGGGTTGGTGAATGCTTCTGTATAAGTCTTAAAGTGTATAAAGAGGCAAAACTCTTTTCTAGTTTCGGATAGAGTGGGGAAGGGTTATACCCTCTGCCAAGTTCTTTTGTGGTGTTTCCCCACTGGGTAGATTCACCCCTCTATTTGCCTTGGTGACTGTGACGGACCGCCTGGTACCCCGACTGAGTACCTCCGTCAGTGTCATCAGCCCAAACCTGCCTAATTATTGGACAGAACCAATATATTAGGACAGAAAGCTAACCTCCTCAATCATCAGACAACACCAATGTTGAAGAGGAAATCAAGAACTGCTTTATTGAAGACCAGCTCAGTATTTATACAGTCAAAAAGTCTAAAAACATAACGCAATCAAACATGAACAGCATGCAAACAGACGTCCCCTCCCCGATGCCTTAATGAATTAATAGGGAGAGAGGAGACACCTGTGATGGCATTATCTGCTGAGTGTCCATCATGGTAATCGACTCCTCTACACCTAGAGTCAGCTATCTTAATCCCATAATTTACACAATACAACAAAGGGACCAATAAACTGTAACAAGTTCAATGTCCAGAATTATCCCCCTTCAGTGCTGCTGGATTCACAGCCTGTACCTATAATAAACACAGGGTCACCTAAATGTAATGCCAGGGAAAATATGCAGTACATCCCTCCACACATAAACCTAGGAGAATGGTTCATTGTAACCCCATGAGGTCCGAGGTGGGTCTCCATAGTCCTAGGTCCATAGTCAGTAGGAAGGAGGCTAGCCCCCAGGCTCCTCCTACAGCCCCAGTGACGGTTCAGTCCGTCACAGTGACCATTTCACTGAGACAGAAAGTAATGGGAAATCGGGAAATCCTGCATTTAATAGTTGTCATGAGGACAATAGATGAGGGGACAATGTGGACAAATGTTATGGTTACGCTTGTGTTAAAAAGGAATTCTGTTCACTTTGAGGAAATTTTTTTACACTTCTTGTTGCATCCCCAAGACAGAAAGCAAAAGGAAAATTCCCTATCAGGACACAGACAACAAATATTAACCTGGTAGGGATTGTAACCCTTCTCAATCTAAAACTAAAACATTTTTTGTAAAAAATCTGGCTATAGGTACACAATAATGAAATAGCAACTATAGGACAGGGCTTCCAAGGTTCCCTGGATAGGGCAAGAGTGAGGTAAATGAATACAAGACTAAACACACTCACTATAAACAGCAGTTTCAGTATCTCCAACAATGTTCCTTTACAAAACAAATGTATAATGAAATATCTTGTTTGGAGACAGACATCTTACTCAATTAAAGATATAAGGAAAATGTATCAGATGATCCCTATGTATGTAAATACTAGTAACCTAAGTAAATAGCAATGTATTATTTTATTTAACAAAAAAAAATCATCGTCATGGGGTCATTTAGGGTTGCCTTCACCGCCTCCATTGTTTAAAAAGGACATTGTTCACCTTCCCTTTTGCAATAGACACTGTTCTTATCATTTTTTTCTTTTAAGAAAACCTCAAATATGCTTACATATCCAATCTCTAACCTCAGTAAGAAAGCTTGATGAGATCCTGGCATGGCTCAGACTTCAGTCACTAATAATCTGTAGAGACTTGGCAGACTTTTCATTTGGCATTTGGCCTTAGAGGAGAACTATTGCAGTTTTATCACATATACCCATCAGCAGATAACG